ATTAGAAATTACAAGTGATAGCAAATACTTATAGGAGGAATGACTGTAAGAGAGCAGTTTTTTTTTTTAAGAGAGCAGCTTTTGATAATTCCCTAAAGAACTTCGTTCTGTTGAAAACTTTCTTCCCTTAACGAGAGGTGAGCCTCTTCTCTTCTCTGTTTCAGGTTCTTGTTTCCTTTGTCTGGAATTCCTTGCAGGTCTTGGGGTTATCAGGTGGTATCAGAGCCAGTGAATCCAGACTAGAAGGATGACGGAGTGGGGCAAGGAACCGGCTGCCGACGACGATCGGAGCTTCGAAACATTATGGGCAAACCAGACAGCCATCTTGCGCCAACTAGAGACGTTGTCCGCTGATGTGCAACGTCCTTCCCTGACACTGCACCGAGAGTTAAATCTCAATCGGGCAGCGGAGGCAAATTGTCAACCTCGCTGGGACAGGCACCGCCAATCATTCCCGGTGGCCGGCGTGGTGCGGGTATTGATCGACCACGGCATCGACTTCCCATTCATGTACAAGGAGCATCGGATTCCGAAGAAGACTTTGAAAGACAACCGGAAAGAGGCGGAAGCGAGACCGAGGAAGAGAATATCAATTTCGATCAGACGGGAGATCACTTTCGGCGCAGACGACGCCCAGCACATCATCAACACCAAGCAGAATTTAAAGTCAAGGTAGACATCCCAATTTTTGATGGCCATTTACACATTGAAGATTATTTAGATTGGGAGAAGGCTGTTGAGAACTTCTTCGATTACATGAAAATTGAGCCGACCAAACAGGTCAAGTATGTAGCCTGTAGATTGCGAAGTGGAGCGAGTGCTTGGTGGACTCAATTACTGCAAATGCGACAAAGGGAAGGAAGAGGTCCAATCCGTAGCTGGGTTCAAATGAGACAACTCCTTCGAGCTCAATTCCTACCGACTGATTATGAACAGATCCTCTACATGAAGTATCAACCATGTGCACAAGGTAATCGGTCAGTAAGTGAATACACGGAGGAGTTTCATCGGTTAAGCGCTCGAAACACAATCTAAATGAGTCCATGAATCAGCTGGTTGCTAGATATATTGGGGGACTCAAATATAGTATTCAAGACCGACTTGAATTAAATTCAGTGTGGTCACTGTCGCAAGCCATCAATTTCGCCTTAAGGGCAGACATACAACTTAGTCGGTCAACGAGATCAAATTTCACTTGGAGGCAAACTCCTGACTCCGTGCTGGAAGCCTCAAGGGGGAGCTCCCTTCAATTTCAAAATGTAAACAGTGGTCCTTCCCTCTTGCCAACGCCTTCACAGTCCAAGCAGACGACCCCTATTACCTCGAATGTAGATGCCAAGACACAGCCCAAATCAAGAGCTCCTCAGCAGACCAATCCATACGCGAAGCCGGACACTTTGAAGTGCTTCTGTTGTTTTCAGTCGGGCCATAAGTCAAATGAGTGTCCGCAGCGGCAACAACTTCAAATGTTGGAAAATGAAGAGGGGGAAGCTTTACTGGAGCCTGGTGAATTGGAAGATCGGGATGTAGATGAGCTGGAGGGTGATGAAGGAGATCCAGTGATCTGTGTTCTAGAAAAATTGCTAATCGCTCCTAGGCATCACAATGCTTCGCAACGCCACGCTATTTTTAAAACAAGGTGTACCATCGCCGGAAAGGTATGTGACCTACTCGTTGACAGCGGGTGTACAGAAAACATAATCTCCCGATCGGTAATTCAAGCGTTGCAGCTCAAAACAACTAAGAATCCCCAACCCTATAAAATCAGTTGGGAAGAAAGGAATTGATATTCCTGTTACAAAGATGTGCCAAGTCACCTTCTCTATTGGCCGCGTATACGTGTGTGATGTCCTCTGCGATGTTTTGGACATGGATGTGTGCCACTTGATTTTAGGCAGACCGTTGCAGTTTGATTCGGGTGCCATTTTACGACGGTCGGGCCAATGCATATTCGCTTGAATGGAAAGGCAGGCGACTCAAGTTGCTACCAGGTGTCCGTGAAAACAAAGCTCCTGCAGCTGACCAGTCTCCTTCTGCGGTAATGCATGTGGTCTCAGGACCTAATCTTCTACTCACTTGGAAGGAATCAGATCCAGTGTGGGCATTGGTTATCACTGAATCATTTGTTCCAAATTCTCTGGTCGTTTCTGAAGAGGTACAACACTTGTTACGTGAGTTCCGTGACATCTGCCCAAGTGAGTTACCCGACACTCTTCTGCCCCTCCGAAATATTCAACATCAAATAGACCTTGTACCAAGTGCGGTCTTACCAAATCTCCCCCATTACAGGTTAAACCCCAAGGAACAGCAAGCATTGCAGACCATTATTGAAGACCTTCTGAAGAAGCAGCTCATCCAGACAAGTATCAGTCCTTGTGCTGTTTCGGCATTATTAGTGCCCAAGAAAAATGGTGAATGACGTTTATGCGTTGATAGTAGAGCCATAAACAAGATCACTGTAAAATACATATTTCCGGTGCCTCAGATCGACGAATTGTTGGATGAATTGGAAGGCGCATGTATCTTTTCAAAGTTGGACCTACGTAGTGGGTACCATCAGATTCGAATTCGTCCCGGCGACGAATGGAAGACAGCCTTCAAGACAGGTTCCGGACTGTATGAATAACGAGTAATGCTGTTCGGCTTGTGCAACGCTCCCTCCACTTTTATGAGAATGATGCAAGACATTCTCAAGCCGGTTTGGGGAAAATTCTTTATTGCTTACTTCGACGACATCTTAGTTTACAGTGATACCTTATTGCAACATGTTGGCCACTTCAAACAACTCTTCATTATTCTACAGGAGAATAAGTTGTTTCTCAACTTACTGAAATGCGAGTTTGCCACGTCGCAGGCACATTTTCTGGGATTCGTGGTGTCAAAAGCCGGTGTCCAAATGAACTCCGATAAGGTCGCAGCAATACAAAACTGACCAACCCCCCAATCTTTTTTTGAGGTTCGTAGTTTTCATGGCTTAACAAATTTTTATCGCAAATTTATAAAAGGATTTAGTGTGATAATGAGTCCTATCACGAATTGTCTGAAATCCAAAAATTTCATTTGGGGAGAACAACAACAACACAGCTTCGCTGCCATCAAGGAGGCACTCACATCTGCTCCAGTTCTAAGACTACCTAGCTTCGACAAGCTTTTTTTGGTAGAAACGGATGCCTCCTCCGTCGGCATTGGAGCCGTTCTATCACAGGAGGGTAGACCCATTGTGTACCTCAGTGAAAAACTTTGCCCATCACGCCAACGCTGGTCGGCCTATGAACAAGAGTTGTATGCACTTGTTCGTGCTTTGAAGCAGTGGGAGCACTATCTCTTACACCAAGAATTCATTTTGTGCACAGACAACAGGGCCCTTCAATTTATAAACAGTCAAAAGCATGTAAATAGAATGCATGCTCGTTGGGTGGCTTTTCTCCAAAGGTTTTCATTCGTTCTTAAACACCAAGCCGGGCAAAATAACAAGGTAGCAGATGCTCTCAGCAGAAAAGTTTTACTCGTCAACCAGCTCCAGACTGAGTTCTCGGGATTGGCTTGCCTCAAAGAGCTCTATCAAACTGACCATGACTTCTCTGACATTTGGGCCAAATGTCAACAATATGAAACTGTTCCCTGCTACTCAATTAAGCATGGTTTTCTTTTTTACAACGGCCTGTTGTGTGTTCCATTGTCATCCTGGAGGCAACACCTCATCCGAGAAGTTCACTGTGTTGCCCTGGCTGCTCACATGGGGAAAGATAAATCCTTAGCTCAGATGAAGTGCCGGTTCTTTTGGCCACGCATCCGCCGGGATGTATTCCGTTTTGTGGATCGCTGCGCCGTGTGCCAAAGCTACAAGGGGGGTTCTCAAAATACAGGCCTCTACACCCCTCTACCGGTGCCAGATTCAATTTGGGAGGACCTTAGTCTGGATTTTGTTCTCGGGTTGCCTCGCACATCGAAGGGGAACGATTCTATCATGGTCGACCGTTTTTCGAAGATGGCGCATTTCATCGCATGTAAGAAAACTTCAAACGCCCTTCATGCTGCACATCTTTTTTTTCACCCGGTTGTCCGTTTACACGGGATTCCCCGAAGTTTAACATCAGATCGGGATGTTAAGTTCATAAGCCACTTTTGGCGGGAACTTTGGAAGAGATTGGGTACCGATTTGCGCCTTAGCTCCGCTTACCATCCTCAGTCGGACGGACAAACTGAAGTCGTGAATCGCACATTAGGGAGCATGCTTCGTTGCTTGGTACAAGACCATCTAAGACAGTGGGAAGAAGTACTCAGTATTGCCGAATTTGCTTTCAATTCGTCAGTGAACCGCTCTACCGGTAAGCCACCGTTCAACATAGTCTATACCAAACCTTCTAACATTGTTGTGGATGTAGCTGTTTTACTGAAGTGCAAGTCCGGGTCCGCAACAAACTTCTCCAATCAGTATACCAACATGCTCACAGACGTTCACAAGCAACTTGAGAAAGCCAATTGTAAGTACAAGGAGGCCGCAGATCGCCATCGGAGACAGACCTTGTTCAATGTGGGCGACCTTGTTATGGTTCGCATGCGCTGTGAGTGTTTTCCACCGGGCACGTATAACAAACTCAGCCGTCGTAAAATTGGTCCTGTTCCTATCATTGCAAAAATCAATGATAATGCATATACGGTTGAGTTACCAGCTGGTCACAACACGGCTCCAACCTTCAACGTCTCCGATATATGGCCGTATCAACCGCCGGACACCTCATCGATCACAGTTAGCTCGTCGGAGTCGAGCTCTTCGACGGCCAGGGAGGACTGATGCAGAGCTTATCATGGATCGGCGGCACAGTAGAACACTTCAGCAAGCCACACGTTCCACCGTACCAATTCCGTTATTATAGTACTAGACTACTTTTTATTTGCTCTGCTTTAATTAGTAATTTCTTTTCCAGTAATATTAGAAATTACAAGTGATAGCAAATACTTATAGGAGGAATGACTGTAAGAGAGCAGTTTTTTTTTTTAAGAGAGCAGCTTTTGATAATTCCCTAAAGAACTTCGTTCTGTTGAAAACTTTCTTCCCTTAACGAGAGGTGAGCCTCTTCTCTTCTCTGTTTCAGGTTCTTGTTTTCTTTGTCTGGAATTCCTTGCAGGTCTTGGGGTCATCAGTTACTTATGGCAGTAACAATCCCATCCCAACTTTCTGGCAATGAAGATAACAACAATAATGCCCTCACCTCATCATCAAAATTGATGCAAACTGAACACAATTGACTCATCACAATATTCAGATTATTCAGGTGTTTCTCCAATGGGGTGTTGTCCAACATCTTCATATTGGATAACTTCTTCATTCATAACACTTTGTTTGAGGCCAATGACTTCTCATACTACTTAATTAGTGCGACCATGAGATCGACTGTAGTCTTCTCATTTACAATGTTGAATGCACCACATGAGGAAAGTGAAAGTCGTATCAAACCTATTGTAGTCCGGTCAAGAACCTCCCATTCATCCATAGTCATAAAATCCGGCTTCTTATTGATTCCTTCCAACGGTAAATACAACTTTTGATACAACAAATCTTCAAGTTGCATCCTCCAAAATGTGAAGTTCGAACCATTGAACTCTTCATTCTTGTACCTTGCTTCGTCCACCATTACTCCCACTCGAATTAAAGAACCTTGCTTTGATACGAGTTGTTGGGGATGAGTAGGAGTAAACACCACAATGACAAAACAAGCAAGAAAGTAGAAATAACGAAAAAATAAATGACACCAAGATTTAACGTGGAAAAACTCAAAATAAGGAAAAAACTACAGAGTTGCACCATACCAAGAAATCCATTATGCAAATTGGGAGAATTAAGTACATATCTCTCTTCACTCTCACTCTCTCCTTGCTTCTCTTCTCACATGAACTATTCTCAATGTCTAACACACCAAAATACAAGAGAAAGCCAAGTAAAATAACCCCAAGAGACGTAACCCTTCAGAAAAGCGAGAAAGAAAATTGTCTAGTCTGTCTCGTAGCGCTGCAGCGCCAGTTTGAAGCTCTGCGGAGCTTGAACCTCTATCTTGATCCGCTGCAGTGCCGTATCTATGCTGCTTAAGCGCTCAACTCTCTGTGGTTTAGCGCTGAGGCCCTCGGGAATACATAGTCGGGGCACTCGAGTACGTAACGCCGGGGTAAATCCCCTCACCCCCTAGCGAACACGAGAAACTTGAGGTCCGAGGAAACAAAACAACCCGATTGATCAACACAATCATATTTCACTTATAACAGGCTCTTCGCTGGGGTGAGCTGTTGGCCCATAATGGAGGTGGATCCCTTGCCTGGAAACACTCTGATTAGTTTATAATTTAAAATATATCAGGAGAAGTGAAGGCCAATCCCACAATTATAATTTCCTTAGAACCTTTAATATTCTTTCCTTCATTGCAACTACACATGATCGAATGGCCACAACTTCTTGTGCTAGACACAATTAAGCATCTCCTAGTTCCAATTAGATAAAATTTAAAAAAGAAGCAATTTTAAATTATGTGTCAACAAACAAAGAACAAAAACATTTAAAATTCGACCTGGCTGTTACAGGCTACCTGCATGGTCGGTGGTAGTGGATATTTTTTAAATGAGTATTTTTAGTTTTTTAATATAATGCTTCTTTAAAAAAAAAAAAAAAAAAGTGTATTCCATATGCATAAATCTTACGATCTACGTTTTTATGTAAACTTTCCCACTATTTTGTGTGCTTGTACCTTTATTTGAATAGTTTCAACAAGCAGAACGTGGCTGCATGGTCCATTTGAATGAATTAAAATTCAAAATGAAAATATAGACTAATAAAATAATATATAAGTAACTAAAATTTATTCTTTATATGATAAAATGAGATAAATAAGAGATAATATTTTTTTATAAATTTGTGGTTAGATGTGTTATATTCTTTATTGAAAACTTTTATCACTGCAAATTTCATAAAAATATTCTTTTATTTATCTCATTTTAAATTATGTAAATGGTGTAGCTGACGGGAAATATGTAAATGGTGTAAAAATATAAGTATTAGATGATGAGAATTTGGCATCTTCCTTCCTAGTTTTCTTGAATTATTTTATTTCCTTGAAGCATAGGTATTATAGAAATGTGGTAAGGCTAAAGAAGATGGTGGTGATGACAACAATGATTTTATTTTTGTAGTGATGCTACTTATTTTCCTAAGCCGACGCCTTTTAGAAGAACCCTAATGCAGACAATATCTTTGCGAGGCGAATGATATTATTTCTGTCAAACCATATTTAATAGTTGTTTTCTTCTCATCATAAGCAATGATAGGAGGCTAAATATCTATTGTAACCATCACTCAAGTCCTACTCCAGAAGTGCTCATTGGGGTTAATGTGCATTCATACTGCTTTTATGTTGGATGGTACAAGCGAGAAGCATCTACCTATCAAGTTGCGTTATGTGCTTTTAATGCTGGCCATGGGGTTATCACATGGCTTTGGTGACCATGGGATACCTCATTAATATGAAATCCATCTCATGCCCTTTGTATCTGGGACCATTTGTGCCATCACTCAACAGAGACTGCAAGGAAATTTCCCTCATCTTTCTTCTCTTGACGCCTTCAATGTAAAATAGCCTTATGGATGGTGTCATTTGGAACTGGGTCCTGTGCATGGGGGAAGGCAGGTCCCCACCTCTCTTACTGGTCACAATATGGGGATCCACTTCTACTGATCTAAACGTCCATTTCATCTTTCTTTCCAATACGGAAGCTATCAGGGATGGACAAATGGTAATCATTTGCTTGTGGAGGCCATTTGTGATGATGCATTTACTCTCTTCCAACATTGTGAATGATATCTTTTTATTACCCATGATGTGGGGGACCTACATGGCCGCTTTCATCCTGTAGCTAAGCTACAGACTATTGGAATGTGACTGAGCTGTTAGAATCATTCTTAGATCTTCCAATTTTAATGCGGTCGTTTTCCTATTTTACCTCTTGCAAGACTTTCAAGTGCACATTTGTTTCTAATCCCTGAAATCTCTAATTTACTTGGACTTCATTGTTTCTCCCAAATCATTTTAATTTTGTGGTCCTTGATGTAAAGTTTTTTGTTTCTTCATGGTGCAAATGTAGCATGTAGAACTTGGTTTGGACTTTGGAGTACTTAAAATATGCTCATAAAATAAAATTTCTAGCCTTTTTCATTCAAGCTTGCCGTTGTCTTTGACTGCAGACAGAATGTTACATTAGTTTTTTTTTTTTTTTTTTTAAATTGGAAAACTGTAAAAATTTACAATTTCATTATGGATTGTTGAACATTAGCTGTTTAAACTTCGACTTGTTTTATGATCTGTGTATCCAGTGTTTATAACAGTGGTGAATTTTATCTTATATTTTCTGTTCAGCGGATGCTGAATATATCCTACTATTTGATCTGGGCTTCATCTAATCTAATTTTTATTAATTTATTTCTGCATTATTTTTGCATATTGCTTTGATCATTTGTTTTAGGTCCAACTATAACTTTGTACCGGAGGCAAAGTGATTTGACATGGAAGGTTATTATGGCATGACAGATACAAGAGAATAAATAGGTATGCTCGCCTGAATTGTCACTATATATTATTCTATGCGGATGATATTTAAAGTAACTATGCTAGTTTATAGTAGAGGCTGGCATTTGCTTCTTGCAAGGCGCAATTATTCACAAGCTTTCTGACTAAGTTGACAGAACTCTACTTTGATAGCAGACAACTTTAATGAATAGACAGCATGCTTCTTGGATATCTTCTTGGCAGGTAAGAGTACCCTATCCACAAATTTATGATTGTGCAGTATAATTCCTTATTATTAAAAATAGCAAACGTATAATAACACCAAAGCTTATAATAATCTAAAGAAAACTAGAAGTTTTATAAAGAGGGTACTAAGTAAAGCAAAAGTTATAATTTTGGATGATTTATATGTTAATTTTGGTATTAGGAAGAAGAAAATAAGATATATGGAGATTATATTTGTGGAAAGAGATGAGAGATTTAGGGATTTGGGTCAAGTTAGATGAATTGAGAATGAAGATAGTATTTTGGTTAAAGATGACATCAAGTGAAGAGAAATGTTACTTTGAGAAATTGCCTTTAAGGAAGAAAACATTCTAGAAGAATACGAATAATATAAAGAAGTATGTTATAGATTGATCCAAAAATTGAAGTAGTGTTAACTTCGAAAAAGAGGCATAAAGGCAAGGCTTTAAGTCCAAACGACATATCCATTGCGATTTTTAGAGTTTTGATGGATACTGATAGGATTTGGTTAACATTTCTTTTCAATAGCATTTTTAAAACCAAAAAATGCCAAATGATGGAGGAGAAGCATTTTGGTACCAATACTTAAGAACTAATGTGCTGTTCAAAATTGTTCCAACTTGCAACTATCTTGGAATCAAAATTATGAGCTATGAGTATACAACATAGCTATGGGAGAGAGAGAGATTAATTGAATAGAGACTTAAAAACATTACATCAAATTTGGATAGCTAATTGGTTTAGTACCGGTAAGATTTACCATGAAATCAATTTTTATGTTAAGATAATTAATAGATGAGTATAGGGAACAAAATAAAGAATTTCATATGTTTTTTATTAATCTTGAGAAAACATATGATTGAATGTCACAATATTTGATTCGAAACGTGCTTTAAGGAAGAATTATGTATGTCAAAGGTACGTTGATGCTACTAAATATATGTATGATGATTACATTGACTATTATTAGAACTGGTTGTTGAATGACCAAAGCGTTTTCAATTATCACAGGCTTATATCAAGAAATTACATTGGCTTTATATTTTTACATTGATTATGAAGATGCTTACAGAGGATATTCAAGACGAGGTGCATTGGTTTATATTTTTTGACTTAGAATTAGTTTAATAAAGACTAAATAAATGATATGAATTTTAGTTGGTATGATGTTAACAATTATTATTTAATCTCATTTGAAGGTTAGGCGATATTTACATGTGCTAAGGTCAAGTATTATGGAGATATTACACAGAAGAATGAGGATATAGACGATGATATAACTCTTATAGTTTATAATAGATAGTTAAAATGGAGAAATGACCTCAGGAGTTTTATGTGATTATATGATATACCATGGAAGCTTAAAGGTAAATTTTATAAAATTTAAATTAGGCCGAACATGTTGTATGGGTTTGAATGTTGAGTTCTAAGAAGTCATTAGTATAATAAAAATGAGAATGTTAAGATGAATGCATGAAAAAGTTAGGAATGATAAATTAAGGATTGATTATATATTAAAGGAAATATGATTCAGTGATATTTATATATAATCAGGCATATCAAAATAGACTAAGATGATTTGGATGTGTACAATAAATGATAGAAAACATGCCTAATATATAAGTTAAAATTACTGTTAGAGGAACAATAGGGAAAATTGGTAGATCTAAGGGTATTTGGATAGAAATTGCTAAAAATAATTTGCAAAAAATATATTTAATACCTTAGTCATTACTCAACAAGAATTAACAAACAATAAGGATTCATAACTCCAACCATAAATAGTTGGGATAAGGCTATTCATGTTGATGATGATATAGAAAATTTAATGAGTGGGATTGTTGCATTTTACTTTTTCATGAGTCTTTTGCACACCTGATCATCCTTTTAAACCCATACTAGAATGTAAAATACTTGCAGGCTTAAGTTAATCAACATAGTATTTGTAAGGTCTTTGCAGTTTTTTTTTTTGCAAATTTTTCTATATTTTTGTTTTTTGTTTTTCTCTTTTTTGCTCTTGCACCCTTATTAAATCATGAATGAATTCCTACATGATCATAAAATTAATTTTTTTTCCTTTCATAGTTTTAACCCTTTAAGAATATGCCAGTGCAATAATAACATGATATTTAGGTGATTCATTACGGACCCTTAAATTTCCATCTTGAAGACGTGAATGATATTGATAAATTCGATGTAGGCCATCTAACTTGATAATGGTTGTACCGAGCATGTCTAGATCAAACCTAAATTGGTGTTGGCGCTATTAACGGAATTTATTTGATTACAAAGCTCGTAATCTATTAAATTCATCAAAATATCTGTTTTAAGCTTTACATTTACGTCCAAAATTTCCTGCTTCTTAGTATTGCTAGTTAGCTTCATTATGCCATATGAATCAGGCTTAAGGTTTTTTTTTTATTTTTTTTATTTTTATTTTTTTAATTCTTTTATTTTCTTAATTTAATTAAATTTATTTTGAACTAGGGGATGTGGGGTAAGGTGGAGTGGTTATGGAAAACCATGAAGGGGTATCTTGTTTGGTTTACATGGTAAAAATTGAAACTAATTACTACTCAGTTATGAAAGTTGGGGTTTGTATGGATGTTTGGGATTGAATATGTGTATGTGTATGTGTTTGTGTTTGTGGGGTGAGATGAGGTAGGTGGGCAGTGTAGGAAGTGGTTGGGAAATGCTGGATTTTGAATTTTAAGAGGTTTGTTCAGGGGTTAATTGTTAACTCCATGAACTTGTGTGTCTTGTATGAAATTCATTTATAATTTAAGGATAATAAATTTTATGTTATCTTATCTAAGTGTTTGTTAAGTATTTTCTCTCAGATTAATTAATTAGCAATCATGGAGATAATGCCATGACTCACTAAGCTAGCTTGAAGTTTTTTGCAGATTGGTGATGAGGTTAAGATATTCAAGTAAAGAAGACTAAGGTGCAAATATTACCTAGTGTTGTCTTGATCCAGTGGGTGAGTTTAGGATGTTATTCATTAAAAATTTACTGAGCAAGATTTGTTAAGGATTCAAGGATAATGAACGTATATAAAAATAAAATTGATTAGATTGTATTGATATTTATTCAAATTATATTTTAATCACTATAAAATTAGTTTCAATTTAGTTAGGATTTATGGCAATTTATTTGTCATGATTTTCTATTTATTTAATTTATTGTCAATTAAATAATCTTGTATTAATTTTTTTTAGTTGCATATGTAGTTATCATTTACTTAAACTACTTATAATTATGTGATTGATCATTAATAATTTTAGCATAATTATTTAAGTTTATATTTTTATGAAGTATATTAAATATGCTAAATATTGCTTCATGCATTAATTACTCAATATTTCTATTAATTTATTATGCTTCTTATTTTTTTCATAGGAATAAATTTGAGCTTCATTATTATTCAATTGAATTCATTGAGCTGTTTCCATCCAAGTTGATAAATAATATTATACTCAATAGTTATATTAATTTATTATACTTCTTATTTTTTCAAATGAATAAATTTGAGCTTCATTATTATTCAATTGAATTCATTGATTGGTTTCCATACAATTTGATAAATAATATTATATTTATGCTATAATTCATTAAATTAATCTAAAAATAATAATTTTCACTTATTTATGAAGTTACCACTAACGAAAATGGTTATAACGTTAGTTTGGTAAATTAATCTTCTTGCCTTTGCCCTATTGCATATAAATTTTAGCTCTTTGAGCAATCATTTAACATGAACTATGAGGAAATTATGAGTTAAGCTGTTGACTATTTTGAGTGTTCATCAATAGAAGATTTAATTGGATTCTATGAGTATTTGCATTTTGTAGTTATATTTTGCCATCTTTTTTTGTAGGAGATTCTGTAGTTAGATTTATTTTCTGATAGCTGTTGTTCACCACCAAAGTCTTGGAAGACTTTGACATGACTTTTTTATTTTATTTTATAAACATGCTTGTGCCAAGCTTTCGAGGACTTGAAGAAGCTTTGGTTGAGTTTTGCTTTTGTCGCTCTTTTGGATCGTTAGATGGGTGCTCTTCCCTTTTAAGGAAGAGAATATAATGGTGTCTCCATCGGCTTGATGTGCGAATGTGTGAGTATAGTATATTCACCCATTGGAGGATTAGGTTTGGTTATAAGTTAGTTAGATGTTAAACCATGTAAAAAAGTCATGTCCTTGCTCTTTAGTTTAGATTTACTTGCTTGCACTATCAATTGCTAAATTGCATGTTTATGAGATGATTTGTTGGGTATGGAATTTTTTATCTTTTAAGTAGAGTAATTTCTATACTTATTTTTTTATATTTTTACTCATAGACATTATATTTTTCACTATCACCATTACATGTCATGTAAACTTTCATTTCTTGTTTAGATTCAAGTTTGATGTGTATATGTGATCTATTGTGATTGATTTTATTTTGACTATTGTGCTTACAAGTTGAACAACATATGATACTTATTTGCATGGTTACACTTAACTTGGGTTAGATTTTACTGATCTGGTTAAGTGATCACATCTTTAAAATTCTGCTTATAATTCATTCACACTTGTGTTAGCTTTATTTAATTTGTATACATCTTAGACACCCACACATGTATGTTTGCATGTAGTTAATTTAATTATTTGATTGACTGTTTAGTTAATTTTGTGTATTTATAGTGAGAGTTTGAATTAAAAGAAAGTTGAAAGAATTTGATGTGCTTATTGCACACCTAATTCAATCCCTTTTTGGTGTGCCTTAAAACTGTCACTAATCGTGAGGGCTAAGCATGTGTCAAGGTCATTCTTTGTGATTAGCATTGCCATTTTCTGTAAGCTTTTTCCTTATATATTAAATGAAAATATTCGACTAATGATCTTCACATGAGATGAGACTGGCCATCTCAATTCTTGGAGTTATTAAAGTTTGGTTGGCGGCGGCATGTAGGGTAACTTGGAGGGGAGTATTAAGAAAAATCTTCTTTCTTATATAGAAGTGTCTCCAAGATATTCCAAAGTGTGTTAAACCCTATCATGATATTCTCAATGTCATTCATATGGCAATCATTTAGTCTTGGGTAGACGGTGACCACCTCCTCAGCATCTATCGATCATGGAGGGGGGTCAACATCTACCTAGGATAGCCGTCCTATATCTCCTTTAAGAGGATTTCCTTATCAACTTATTATCTTTTATACTCTGCTTGAAACTTCATCTTGTCTTTCATTGTAGAGGAGAGACGACCTTAGCATGGTATATGAGGCAACCTCCACTCATGATAGAGCAACGAGGCGCTCCTCCGCCTTATTTATTACCTCATTCACCCTCTTTGTCTCTATCTTAACTAGCTTAAATAGCTTATAGCGGTTGTGCCTTTGGTCATTCGTGAGAGAACTCAATGCCACGAGGTCGTTGAGCGCCTTCATGGCACCATTTAAGGCTCGATGGAGGGAGCATCTTCGAACATACTAGGCCATCTCTTTGTACTTTATATTTGACAGATACAGACAAGCGATGACCTCATTGTTGTTGTTTTCTTCTCTATAGGAGAAATTAATCAAAAGGGGGATTTGCATTGAGATTGGGCTATTGAAAAAGATAATTTTGACTCATTGTACATGTGTGGGATCCTTTCCTGAATGAATATTTATTATCGCGAGATGGGGAGGTTGTTGATGCTACTATCGGTTGCCATGATGTGGAAACTCTCACTTTTGTCTCTCAATGTGACCTAGGGATCTTATCTTTTATCTATTCTTCCACTTTGGATGGGTTAGAGTTTATCTCAAACTTCTTCTTGGTTGACTACTGGATTAACACCTTCTATTTCTTCTTGATCGTTTTCTCTGAGGAGCCTCTTTTCTTTTCTTGCTCTCTTATATAGAAACCATATTGTAGCTCGGGTCTAAATGGTCCTTTACCACTAAAATGCAAACTTTTCTTTTGATATGGCAAGAAATCCTTTTATGAACCAAATCTCTACCTCCGCCCTAGCTTAAATCAGCCACCCAATTTTTGATAGGTCTTAGAAATACAACCATCATTATGTAACTTGCATTGGGTATTAATACAACCCCAATCGTTTAGAGAAATGTTTTTCTCCAGGGTGCACGATAAGTTGGTAGTCATCCCCTTAAGCAACAGACACTTTGCAATGAAAGTGTTCGACTGTTGTTGGGCCATAAATGATGTTGATAGATCTTTTTCTATCAAATCACTAGCGAAAAGAAATGCATACTTAAGTTTTTTCTCCCCTTCTAAGCAAGTTAAGTTGGATGTTAGGAAGTTGATGTTTTCGGAGAAGGTGGCATATGAGTTGCAGAGTGCATAAACAAAGAAACTTGTAAGAAATTTTGCATGATTGCTGCCTAATGCCCTTATATAGGATTTAGTGGTTGTAGAGGATGATAGAACGATGCCCTTGATAAGTTGAAATGACGTGTCCACTGAACTTCTTGACACGAAAGTGACTTTTTACTCATAATCATCTCATTTAGTGTTTAGGTCAAGGTACAATGATGGAAATAGATTGAAATCATAAACAAACACATAACATGACATTTCTCTCCAAAATATCCCTAGATTTTGGATCAAGAAAATTTAATGTAAATTTCTCCTATTTTTTAGCTGGTTTTCTACTTTGCAAACAAGTTGGATACAATCCTCAAATTCAAGGCCTTGTATCTTTGTTTCAAATTATTTTACTTATACATTAGGCCTTTGTCCATCAAGAACCTTTTGTCGCTTGGAATAGAGAAGCCTTTTATGAGCAATATTTTTCCTTTTGCTGTTGTACTAACGCTCAAAACATGGAACCCCATTTCCAATGTGTTGGGATTTAATGTATTGCCCTTGTCTTTGGTTCCGCCTGAAACAAGTACTTTAGCACATAGCACAAAAGAGCATGTCCTAAGTACACTTCTCAAAAGTAACAAGGAAACTATTTTTCAAAAGTCAACTTTGGTATAATGAAGCTCTTACACTGCTTCCTTTTCTTTGACAAGAGCCATGGGCGATGGTTTCTCACTGGGCAAACATAGTGGGATAGGTGGCAACCTGAGTAGCATATTGCAATGCAATGATCTTCTAATAGTTGGGCTGTCATCGAGTCATTTTCCTTTATAGCATCAAAGGTTTGTAACAAGTAATGAATCTTTGGGAGCCTAACCATAATTATGTTTGGAAAAGGACGTTGTGGGGACTTTTGAGTAGCTACAGTTGTTGGCAATGATTACTATACTATTGGAACAAAAAGTGGGAGCTTTGAGTTTTAGGATCCAACCAATGTTCTCTGGGTAAGGGTGCATAGTTTGGATAAAATAAAATAAAATAAAATAAAATAAAAAGATCTATAAATGATTTTATTTCGTTAGTTAGTTAGTTTGGTTTGGTTGTTAAAGCAATATTTTAATTATTAATTGTTATTTTAATATTTTTTTAATTTTTGGTTATTTATTCAAGTTTAATATTTTTGATCGTTTTATCTATGATTGATAGCTCTTTTGGGATAAATTAAATCTTGAACTTTTTTGGCTTTAGTCTTGAGCCTTAGAGCTTTAGCAGTCCTATTTGCTTAAACTAATCGGTTGCACCTTGTCCAAATCCCTATGTTGTCTTGTTTATTTTAATCAAATTATAGTCAAGCTTGAAATCCACATGTAAACTAATACAACACCAAGCTTTTGATCTTTAAACTTGATCCAAGAATTTATTGACTTGCCACATTAGCCAATTATAGCCTTAACCACATATCAAGATTCATTCAAACTTAACCAAGGGCCCTCTTGAGTCGACTAGACCCTTTGATTGAGTACAGAGAGATCTAACTACAGCTCTGAACCCTAACAACACCCTTGAGATGCAAATAGAGCTAGTTCTTGGTTCCTAGCCTATAAAATCATTCATAAACCAAACTCATGCATTTTACAAATCCAACCAAATTGATCCTAGGCCATGTTGATCTCTTCAGAGGTGACCACTCCAAGGATAGTGGTGACTAGAAGATTACTTTAGGTTGCATAAAGATGATTGGGGGTTTCAGTCATTTTCATCTGCCTCAAACATAGCTCATTAATCAATTCAACAAGCTTGTTGTGGCTCTAGTTGAGGTATA